CTGCGGTAAGGACGGCCACCGCGCAGCCGTGTGCGAAGCCACCGCCGACGAGAGGAGCGCCTTCACCGGAGTTCTGCAGGGGAGATCGGGACCGAGCGAGGCGGAGGTTGATGGCCCACGTCTCTAATGGTGCGCGTCCTCCAGATCAACGTGGACGGGGGTAGGGCGGCCCAGGACCTAATGGAAGCCACGGCCGCCGCGCTACGGGCGGACATTCTTATCATCAGTGAGCCGTACAGGTGCAGACCGGAGGAGGAGGGCTGGTTCCGCGACTCCAGCGGCAGGGCCGCGGTCGCGATTGTCAACCCGCAGATTGCCCTCACCGAATCGGGCCCGGGGGCCGAGGACGGCTTTCGCTGGGTCCAGTGCGGGGGCCAACGGTACTTCGCGTGCTACTGGTCGCCCAACACGGACTTTGCCGCATTCGAGGATTTCCTGATCAGGCTGGAGCGCAGCGTCAGGAGTTCGAGCGTCCCGGTCGTCGTCGCGGGCGACTTTAACGCCAAGTCACCGGCGTGGGGCGACAGTCGCGAGGACGCGAAGGGCCGCGCTCTCGCCGACTGGGCGGCCAGCCTCGACCTCGCGGTGTGCAATCAAGGCGCCAGGCCGACGTTTACCCGGGCGCACAGGACCGGTATCTCGTCGTCGTCCATCGACATCACGTTCGTGTCCCGAACACTGAACCCCGTGGCCGACTGGAAGGTGTTGGACGATTATACCGGGTCCCTGCACCGCTACATCATGTTCGACGTGGCCGGCAGCGCTGCCGTCCGCGCGCTTCCCCCGGAGAGGAAATGGTCTTGGCGGAAGTTGAACCCCCAAAAACTCCAGGAGGCCATCGACTCTGCGGGCGTCCCCGGTACGTACGTTGACGCGGCCTCCGGCGCGGAGGCGGTCGGCGTCATCCTCAGCGACGCGTGCGCGGCATGCATGCCGTCCGGGCGATACCGGGGAGGGAAAAGGCCGGTTTTTTGGTGGACGCCGCAGATCGCGGAACTTAGGAAAGTGTGCCTTCAAGCCAGGAGGAAGTACACCAGGTGCCGTCCAAGGGCTTCGCCGGAAGAGGCGGAAGCTCTGAGGGAGGAATTCAGGGCCCACCGGTCTGCGTTGAGGAAGGCGATCCGGGACAGCAAGGAGGAGTGCTGGAAGGCGTTGTGCCGGCAGGTCGACACCGATCCGTGGGGCCTTCCGTACAAACTGGTTACTAAGAAGTTGTACGGTAGGAGGGCGATACCAGGACTGGACATCCCCGGGAGAATGGAAAACATCGTGAGTACATTGTTCCCGGCGGTCCTCACCCCAGCCGGCTGGCCCGCCCTGGAGGGCTCAACGGAGTTCCCCGAGATCACCAGCGCGGAAGTCGCCTGCGTCGGGGCACACCTGCCTAGAGGTAAGGCTCCGGGCCCGGACGGCGTGCCGGATATAGTCGTCGGGGTGTTAGCTCGTCGCCGGCCAGATATCCTGGCGACACTTTTCAATGTGTGTCTACGGGAAGGCGAGTTCCCCGAGAGGTGGAAGGTGGCAAAGTTGGTACTCCTCCGGAAGGGAGACAAGCCGCTCGACAGTCCGTCGGCGTACCGGCCAATCTGCCTTCTAGACTCGGTAGGTAAGCTTTTTGAACGCCTGCTGAAAGTCAGGATAGAAGGTGCGGTCCAGGACAGCGGAGGGTTCAGCGATCGCCAGTACGGGTTCCGGAGGGGCCGCTCAGCGGTCGACGCTATACAGAGGGTCATGGGGATAGTCGACGCTGCCGCCACTGGACCTCTCTACAAGCGCGAGCTCTGCGCGGTGGTCGCTTTGGACGTCCAGAATGCATTCAACTCCGCCAGGTGGGACAGAATCGAGAGTGCGCTGAGGAAGAGGAACGCCCCGGGCTACATCGTCAAGATCGTTCGTAGCTACTTGAGCGGCAGGACCCTGCGTTTCAACGGCGTCACGAAGACCCTTACGTGCGGCGTCCCGCAGGGCTCAGTCCCGGGCCCGCTCTTGTGGAATATCCTCTACGACGGTCTTCTCGGGGTAGATCCCGGCGGCAACGTACCGGGAGTGTCATCGGTGTCGCTGGTGGCGTTCGCCGACGACCTAGCCGTCGTGGCCACCGGACACGACACACCAACGCTGGAGGACGTCGGCAATCAAGCCCTCACCAGGGTGGCCGAGTGGATGGCTGAAAACGGACTTGCACTATCAACGGGCAAGTCCGAGGCGGTGGTCTTAACCTCTAAGAGGGGATACGCCCCGCCTGCCTTTGCGATCGACGGGGTGCCTATTCGCACCGAGGAGGCGATTAGGTACCTCGGCGTTCGGCTCCATAGGACCTTAGGGTTCAAGGCTCACCTGCAGGCGGCTGCGGCGAGGGCGCAGAAGACGGCGATGGCACTATGGCGAATCATGCCCAACGTCGGGGGCGCACAACAGAGGAAGCGGAGGCTCCTGGCGTCGGTGGTGGAGAGCGTCGTCCTGTACGCGGCCCCCGTCTGGGCCGGGGCTATGGTCTTCGAGTCCAACACCTCGATTATCCAGCGGCCACAGAGGACAGTCGCCCTGAGGGTAGCCACGGCCTACAGGACGGTGTCTACGCCGGCCGTTCTCGTCATCGCGGGTATGATTCCCGTGCACCTGCTGGCAGAGGAGAGGCGTCGACGGCATTCAAGGCGAGGGGAGCCGAGAAGCTCGGAGAGGGACGAAGAGGACCGGGAGGAAGTCTTCAGGAGGTGGCAGGAGGAGTGGAGTCGGTCAGAGAAGGGCACTTGGACGAGGAGACTGATCGGGGACGTTCGGCCGTGGGTCCGCAGAGCTTGGGGCCAGGTGGACTTCCATCTCACGCAACTGCTCTCTGGACACGGTTGCTTTGGTCACTACCTAGCCAGGATCGGGAAGGCAGCCGACGCCAGTTGCGCCGACTGTCAGGCCGCGGTCGACGATGCGGAGCATGCCTTCTTCCAGTGCGGCAGATGGTGGCAGGCAAGGAGGAGGCTGGAGATGGAAATTGGTGCCGACTTGGTTCCGGAGACGCTGGTGGGCGCTATGCTGGCATCCAGGAGGGCGTGGGAGGCGGTCCAAGCGTTCGCTAACCACGTCATGGCGGCGAGAGAAGAAGACGAGCGCAGGCGGCAGAGGGAAAGACCGGCGTAGCGTCGCCCGTCTCCAGAACGATAGGTTAAGTTTATGTTAGAGTTAAGTTTCTTGTTTGTTTTTTTATATGTACTATTTAGTTGTTATATTGATTGTTTCTTGTTACTTAATGTTAGCCTGCCCCGCTTAGGGGTAAACAGGCCTTTTTTGCGGCACAGCCGCGTAATTGTAAATTTCGTGAATAAACGATAGCGGCCAGTGCACCCAAAGCAATTCCTAACGGTGGTTCTGGGTGTACTGGAGTATTGCTGGTTAAAGAAAAAAAAAAAAAAAAAAAAGGTATATGCATGAACGAACTCAAGATGCCATGTTATATGTCCGCGTACATGGTCGCCCTGATCTATTCATCACATTTACATATAACCCTACTTGGAAAGACATCATAGATGCACTGTTTTCTGATGCATCGAATTTCATCAAACATCAAACTATCATATGAAAACCATCAGAAAATAAATAATAAACAATTCCAATAATGATAATTCTGAAGAAAATGAAACAGTCCAAACACAATACAATTATGAGAATCGCATACAAGGCTCATGGGTATTTGGAATGCATTGAAAACAGCTAGAAAGCTGTTTTTGTTATCATAAATAAATGTGCCGAAGAAATTCTTATACAAATTATTAAAAATAAATTATAAACTGGAATGATAATTTTTGACCAATGAAGGGCATATTCATCAGATCAGATATATTAATCAAACAGTTATCCAAGAAACACACAAAATTTTTCATTGAACCAGAAACAAGAACACTTTTTTTTTTCAATCCTTAGTTTGGTTAAATAACTTCGATGGCTCTCCACTTGTCCCTTACAAATGCTTATAGTTCCTTATAATTGGTTTTTCCTATGTCTTCTATGATCTGTTTCATAAATGGTGTTCTTCGTCTACCTCTTCCAGCTTTTCCTTCTATTATTGTCGTTATCCATTCATTGTTTCTCATAATATGTTTGATCCATTTTTTCCTCCTTTCTCTGATTATCTTCCAAATTGTTTTTCCTTCGTTAATTCTTAGATATACTTCCTCATTTTTAACTATCTCTGTCCAAGAAATTTTCAGTGCTCTTCTCCAACACCATGTTTCAAATGCTTCAATCCTTTTTCTTTCCGCTTTGAGTATCGTCCATGTTTCTGCCTCATAAAGGGCTATATTTTTAACTCTTTATAAGAGTTTTCCTGGTATTTAAGCTAACATTGTTTGTCGCAAATAGGTGTTTCTTCTTGTAAAATGCCTG